CGCCGGCCTGTGCTCCCTGCCGCTGGAAGATGGAGTCTCCTGGTGTCACCCGATGAGTCAGAGACGCAGCGGTTTAAACAAGCGCTCGGGCGAGAGCTGGGCTCGTTAAACAAAGGTGTCATTTATCAGAAAACCTCCTCGCTTCCTTCCCGGTGCCAGCCAGCAGGCTCATGCCAGGAGCTCGCGGCTCCTGCAGCCTCCCAGGAGAGGCAGAAATGATCGTGGCCTTAAAACACACGATGCCGCTTGTCACCTGCCCCGTGGAGGGGAGGAGATCCTGCTCCAGACCCCGCGCCGATCCCCACCTCCCGCTGAGCGAGAGGAACGCTCCCAGCCCCCGGAATCTCACCTCATCCTGAGCATCCTTCTTGATGAGGAAGGGCAGGTTCCTGGCCGTCGCCATGAGGACGTCGGCTGCTTGTTCGGGTGACAAGAAGGGGAGGATCCGAGCCACGAGGCGTTTCCCTTTCCGGATGCACATGATCTGCATGAAGTGGTCGTCGCTTGGTCTGCAGAGGAGAAAAGTGACAACCCTCAGCTGGGAGTGTCCCAAGTTCCTGTGGATACCCCACAGCCCGCCCTGCACAAGGCAGAAAACACACCTGCCTCAAAAAACATCCCCGGGGAGGGAAAAACACAGCAGGAACTACACCCCTGCTGGGCCAGGCAGGAGGACAAGGCTCAGTTCCCCACAGGACAGCGCAGAAGGGAGCCACTGGGACCCCGTGTCCTTCCCTGCTCATCTGTGTGTGTCAGGCAAGAGGTGACAGACTTAAAAACCAGGCACTCAGAGACGTGCTGGGACACAGCTCAGGGCGGACAGGCGCTACTCGCAGCACCTGAGCTGCAGGGATGGAAATTGTTACAGGAACATAACCACAGCAAAGAACTGCATGGGGAAAATGGCAAAAAAAAAAAAAAGGAAAAAACACAAAAAAGGGTTCTTTCAGCCCCCAGTTCCCAACACATCTCTGGAAGAGTCAGTTGAACTCTTCCTTGGGAAACAGGTCCCTGGAAAACCAGTTTCAGCAGCTGCAAGCGCCCATGGACTGTCCAAGCTCCCGACCGAGTCGCAGCCACCACCTCTGCTCACCTCTCCTGCCCGGGTGCCTTCCCCCTCAGATTGTCATACATATCGCAGATCTTCTGCTTCCTCTCGCCCATCAGGGCTGGCCGCTCGCCTTCCAGGCTCAGGAGGTAGCGTCTCTCGTAGTCCTCCACGTCCAGGAGGAGGCTGTACGTCTGCAGGAGAGATCACAGGGATCTGCCACGGGATCCGCCAGCCCTGCTCCAGAGATCCAGGACGTGCCCGGCCCCTGTCAGCGCCCTCCCGTCCCCTTTGCTGCTCCAGGAACGGCGCATCCTGTCCCCGAGCATGTCAAAACCTCCTTCAGATGTTTGAAGAGCAGGCGGAGCAAGGACTCAGTGACCCAAAAGTGTCACAGAGGTGACTGCAGAGAGCTGAGGCGTTGCTGCCTTGCAGCTGAGAGACAATAACAGGCCCTGCAAAGCCCATCCGGGCTCGTCTCGGGCACAGCTCCGGCATTTCTGCTCTCTCCTGCAAGCAGGGCCACAGCCACTGCCAAGTGTTGGCTTGTCTCCAGCTGGATGTCCAGAGCAGCCCATCCGTATGGCCACCACGGTCGCTTCCTTCGCCCCAGCCCACCTCGTGCCCCACCACAGATCTCTGAGGGGGGCAGCAGTCCCCTTTGAACTCACCTTCTCGATCGTGACAAGGGTCTGGCGCCTCTTGTCTCGAACCTGCTTCTCCTTTGTCTCCTGCCAGAGAAGGACAACGACTCAGACCCGAGCGCCAGCCACAAAGCGCAACATCAGAGGGGAGGCAGAGCTGGGACTCACGTCATCCTCGCTGCGGGACGTCACCACTGCATCAATCATCTTCCGCGGGTTGTTCACGCTGGAGACAGTGAGTTTCCCGAGCGAGCCCTCAAACTGCACTGCAGGAATGGGGGCAGGAGGGAAGCAAAGGGAGTCAGTCCGGGCCTGAGCCCACCTTGTCCCCGTTTATCTTTATTTTTATCAGCCCAGGTCCGGGCTGTGTGGAGAAATGAGCACTTACCTGGCTTGTAGGCGTGCTCCAGCTTTGCCACCTGAGGTGTGATGAGTTTAGTGCGTTCCTTCTTTGGACCATCACCGTGGACTTCCTCCGCTGCTGCCAACTTCTCCAGCTTCTGGAAGTAATTCTGAAGCAAGGAGAGGAGAGGTTGAGACCCCCCAAAAAACAACTGGCAAGGACTGATGCAAGACATCCTTCTCCCCAGCCTGCGCTCCAGCCCTCACCCTTTGCTTACTGGTCTTCCCAACGTCAGCAGCAGCGTTTCAAACCACTGTTCTTCCCCCAGCACCCCAGGGGATGGTTGCATCCTCCTCTCCATCATCCCTCGAGATTACGGAGGTTGAGGTTCCTCCTCAGCCCTCTTTCTCAATACAAACAATGACGAATCTGCTCTCCTGGCAACAGCCTCAGCTCCCAGTCCTTCCCAGCACCCTCCAGTTAGCCTGCCTCGCTCTGCTAACACCATGCCCAGGCTGGGCAGTGCACAGCTGGGGCCTCCCACGCTGGTGCTCACATGCTCTTCCCGTCCACCCCGGCCAACGTTCGCCTCTTTCGCAACGGCACAGCTTTGTTGACTCACGTCCCGGCTACGGCCGCACCAGTTCCTCTCCTCTACTGGGCACCAGCTTCACCCACAGCTCCCGGAAAACCCTCTGTCAGCACAATGCCTCCCACCGTCCCCGGAGCAAACGGACCCACCAGAGCCCAGACGACCCGCAAGAGCTCATCCCTGTTCCCACCGTGGAGGGGACCGGGCTGCTCTGACCCACTTCACCGTGCTGGTGGCTGTCCTCCCTGCTCTGCCCCACGCTCGTGGCTGCACCGAGACCTTTCTGGGGGTGCAGCTGCCCCCTCTGCACCCCCTTCGTGAAGACAGGGGTCAAACCTCCTGCCGCACAGCTGACGATTGCCCCAGACAGACCCCACGAGCCCTGTCCAATCTCCCAAGCCAGGTGTCCATCCTCTGTTGCTCAAAGCCCTCTGCAGTTTCCCTCTGTGCACCCTCAAGCCCAGCTGAGCTTCAAGCATCTCCCACTGTTGACAGGAGCCAACATCTGTTTCGATTGCTCCAAACCTGGCTCCTCCCAGCCCCATCTGGTGCTCTCTATTCTCAAACTGGAAAAGAGCAGGAGCAGCCTCTCCCCATCCGAATTCTCCACCTCGCACTTTGGACCCCGTGGGCTTCACCACCCCCATCAGACCAGAGTCCTCCTCACGCAGCCATTCCCTGCCCAGGGCTCTCTCCTGCTCCCCATCTCCCATTACGGGTGTTTTATTCCATCACACGCAGCTTCTGACGCAGAGGAGCTGCTCTCCTGTTATCTGAAGCCTTCTGCACAAAATCCAAGCTGCCAGCGTCCCCCAACACCTCCTCACCCCTGGAGATCTCTCCCAGGAAGATGAAGGCAGGTCTTCCCTTCCCGCTGCCCCCGTTCCCTTCCCAGGAATGCTCTCCCCACCCCCTCCCTCTGCCTTCTTGTTCCAGAAATCAGATTTTCCTCCTCCAGAAATCAGATCAGCCACGGAACGAGCTGGGTGCTTCCCGTGTCCCGGTTACCTGGTAGTAATAGTCGTCCAGGTAGGGATCAGTGCTCTGCAGCTGCATCATCTGGATCTTGGACACCCAGTCCTTTTCGCGTTGCAGCATGAGGTTGGCGTAGGGATCTTTCCGCATCTGCTCCTGGTGGTTGCTCCGGTGGCCCCCTCCGAGCCGTTGAGGTTCCGGTGCTGGCTGGCAGGAAGCAAGAAGGGCACCCGTGAGCACACAGGAGCTACAGGAAGGGACAGAGAGCAGTGCACAGGCTAGCCCCCGACAGCATGACCCCCCT